GCTGCTTTAACAATATTATTTATTCATATTCATATTTGTAAAAAGATCGTGATGCAAATATATTTTATAATCTTCTTACGAAAATAATAAAAACATTTTAGTTGGCATCTTTATTTGACAATCCCCCACCCCCTTCCTGTCCTTAAATATTTCTTGGCGTCGATCATGCACATTTATAATACCTGCAATGTGCGGTTATTAGTTTTTGCCTCGATAAAAAAAAAGTATGATTGCATGTTTTTTAAATCAATTTTTTTCCGCTGCTCTAGTCCATAAAATATGCTATAATAGTTTTGAATTGCACAACTATCCGGACATCATATTTTTTAAAAAATGTTTATACACTTTTGTACTTATTATCGGTACTCGAGCGAATATTAGGTGATGATTAAAGGAACAGGCCGATTCAATGTACCACGTTTCTGGGGACGCTATTAAACATTTTCACTATTGGACCTTTGAGTAATAGAGGGGAAATAATCGATATAATGTAATGTATTGGAGCATTCCACGCCAAGTGTTCCGACCTAAAAAATGTTTGGTCTTTGATTCCGATGAAACTTTGTTAAATTGTTATACTATCTTAGGACATTGTCAATGTGAAATGAGGAGCGGTAAATATGACTGGTTGCCGAGTTACAGGATTTTCAAATTTCGGACTATTTCTTTTAATTTTTACACAAATAAAAAAATGGTCGCTCGGAGTTAAAAACAAAATACGTTATTTAGAATTAACGATAAAAATATTTTAAATTTCGTCAACCCATTTTTTACTACAAAAAAAAAAATCGATTTTAAAAATATTTTTGCAAATTGTGTTCCTTGGATATTTAAGTGAACATTTACTATATAAGCACTATTATTTTAAGTGTTGGGAGCTTTTGCCGAGGTTCTGTTCACCTTAGTAAGTGACTTGCCATTAAGTATTTATAGGCTTCAGTTTTGTAAATTTAATTAAATTTTTATTTAATGTCTCCTTATGGCACCATATGGCAGAACTAAGTAGGCGATATTTTAAATAGAATGTTACTATTATCTACTGCAAGTTTTTTTTTTAAATTTAATTAATACTATAGAAATGAATCCGTGAAATTAATAATTGCTTGTTTTTTGCATGTAAAAAGTAAATATGATCAATCATTTTATCTTTTCATCATATACCTACTTTTTGCAACTTTATTCATGGTAATTTATGTGAGTACCAGCAATTATTACTATTATTATCATAAACTATACTTAAATCTGTATGCTTCTTTTAAAAATGGGTATTTATGTGTGATCAAGTATTTTTTATTGTTGATGTTGATATTTGAAAAAAAAAATGATTTGCATAATTATGAGGATATGTGATTTTATGTCAATAAAATTACAATAAGAATTTCAGAACTTTTTGAATTTGATTGATGAAAAATTCAAAAAGCCCTGAAGGTACTTAAATTTTTTAATAGTTTTATGTCGATTCCTAATATTTGTAGAACTGCAAAAGCTATACACTTAGAGCACATAGCAACATTTTTTTATAAAAAATTTTATTAGTGAATAAGTCGGTGCATAAGTTTTTTCTAGCTAAATTATGTACTACAGTATTAAGATAATTATAGTAGATATTTATATTACAAAATTGTACACATTTGATTACCAGGAATTTGGAGGGAGTTATGATTGATATTGTATGCATAACTTATAACTCTTATACTAAACATATGGGTTCATATTTTTTTTAACCTTAGTGTCCTAATAGGATATAGTATTATACTTTTGTTGATAATGTCTTATTTACATAATTTAATTTTGTACTCTACAATATAAATGTATTTAACTGCCATAATATTTTGAAAAACCAGGCATAATCTATTAAAATGAAAGTAAAACCAATAATAGTTGTGTGGATAAGAGCATTTTTATTTTTAAAAACATATCTAATTTTATTCTGTATAATATTATGTGTAAAACTGCTTATTGTGAAATATGTACATTAATTAATTGACGGCTAATATTGTAATATGAAACAGAATATAGACATGAAGTGCATTATAGAAATATTATTTTATTAAAATAACAGTAGTATTATATAATTTTAAATGAGTTATAATAGTATTAATTCCTCGTCTAAACGTCTTCGTTGTTCCTCGAGCAGTTGTACTGGATCGCTGTTATTCAAATTTATTTGATTCCATACACCTGAAATTCTTTTGTATCTTTTGTGTGTAATTCCATCCCACAGCGTAAAAGTCCTTTTATGTGTGTTAGTCCAAACTTGTTTTATGTACGATGTTGGTACTCGTGCACTCATGTATAATCCCACCATACGACTCATCCATATTAAATTGAAATCATTTTCTACATGCCGCAGTGGTCCACCTAAAATGTATAAAACATTTTTTTTTTTTAATTTGCTAAAATTAGCTTGATAGTTACTACTTTTCTGACTAACTAGGACTAGAATCCAGGTAGAGGTGTAATATATATGCACGTAGCTTTACTTGTTTAATAAACCTGTTTTCGTTTCGTTGCACACTTGGGAGTTGAGTTATTTAGAAGTACGATCGCCTGTTAAGCTCCTCAGGCGATATAGCAAATATACAAAGGAGACTTTAGGGATATATAAGTATAGATACGGGCTAGCCATCCGTCCCGTCTTCGGGTCCACTAATTTAACCCTATCGACTAGTCGTTTCGGCCTAGCTTAAACAACTAGCCAAACAGACACGTTACAGGATTTTTCAGTTTAAATTTTATTTTCAACGATTTTACACAATTGGTTCAATTTTTTTATCAATTATCGTGAGTATACCTTACTTGACAAGTTGTGAACAATAATTGTTTATGTAGGTATTGGCATTTTGAGAAATAGGCTACCGTGTGATTCACATGGTATATATCATCAGTTATTTGTTTATATTGCAAAGGTTATTGTCTGTACAGTTGTTGAGTTTATTATGTAGTCTTATCACAATCATGTACAACTTCCTTGTTGTTTTATTTTTAACCCGAAAATTCCATTTAGTATTCACGTTTGAACAAAATATAAGAGAACTATTGATATCTGAATTTCAAAGGCATCTCTTTGTTATTAACAGCAATGTCTTTCATTATGCTGTCAGTAATTCCATGTACACACAAAAAACAAAATACTATTTAACACATGGTCGTTATCTTTATATTTTTCACTGGACTTAACATGAAAACATTAGAGGTCCCGTTTTAGGTCAACACAAACCACTAATTCCATTGGTCATCAGAATCCCACAATTTGTATATTTTTATTATACAGAAGACCACAATATTGTATACCTACATGCATAAATTATTTCAAATGTTATAAAGTGAGGTTTTTGTATAATTTCGCACATCGGCGCATGTGTTTCAAAAGTAAATTACAATTTTGAAATATGATTTTTTATTAGATTATTGACTATTGCGTTCTTGCCTTACCGAAAACACAACTTTTTTAACTTCAGAAAAACGCTTGTGTTATTCGATTCGCGTTTCCATTTCCACTGTTTAAATTGTTGGAAATTTAGTAACCGTTTATATAAAAAAAAATTCGTGCACGTTTAAAAAACTGCAAAACATTATTTGCATACCCGTATCGAGCTTGAACTATAATAATGTTCAATGTGCTTAAAGCAGTATAAAGAGTATTAGGGTGTGTGCGATTAGGCTTGGTCGGATGTCTGTAACTAATTGTAGTCGATTTTTTTCCCATAAATAGTAGGGATTGATAATTATTAGAAATAAATCAACATTTTTTTTTTTCGGATACCCGTTGACTTTTTTAAGGTTTTTCCTTAATAAAATAAAGTTTGACTACAGACTTATGAGAAAGTCGTATTATATGTTATAGCTACACTTATTAGCTTCAGTCAAATTTCCAGACATTATGCCCTGACACTACAAAGGTGAAATAAAGAAAAAGTCTCTTTATCCCTTTTGGACAAATGAAAGGAATTATTTACAATTTTTGCCCAAAAAAGAACCTTTCATGTACGAACTGCGCCTAATCGAAGAAAGCGGTTTAGTCGTTTGGAATTTAATATATCGAAGTTCCTAACTTGATTCTCCATTAATAAATCTCAAAAATCCTACTGCATGTACTTGTCGTATTTGAATAACACTTCCCAATGTAGGGTTTTAATTTTTAAAATACTATGTATGCATTTGTTGACAAATTTTCTAGGTTTCTATAGGATAGCAATTTTCAATTTTCTCTTTTAAAGGGCTCCAAAATGATGATATTACTTCTGAAAATTCAGTGATAATATCCCGAATTACATTTGAATTTATTTTAGACATACCAAATTTTAAATCGAAAATCAGCTTCCTAGGTAACCTAGACGATCTGTCAACAAATCCACACATACTTTAAAAATTAAATCCAATTTTGGGATGTATGTCTAATTTAGCACCGCTTGTTGGTCTAAAATGCATTATAACTAGTTGTACTCAAGTCACCTTAAATATAATTTATTTTAAGATAATTTTTAATACATTTAGTGAACATGCAAATAGAAGAACATAATTTTCTAAATAAATAGTTAACCGAATTAAGGATAGGTAATTAAAAGTTATTTTATAACCATATTTTGTTGCAATTTATTTTTTATTACAATTATAATTGTAAGACAAACGTCAGTTTGTCAGTATTCAATGCTTTAAACATATTAGACCTCGAATTTACTCTATGCAATAATATAATAATTTTTCATTGTTTTCAGTGTCTTATTCTTAATAAAAAAAACTACAACTTTACTTATTCGGTATATATTTATTTTATTGGCGGACATGACATAAAACAGAAATGGTTATACAAAAAAATGTATTATGTGGAATATGTTATTGAAAAAATTCACCGACGGTTTGTTTTTTCCTGTCAGCTTATGTATATGTATATAATTTTAAAATTTCGGATTTTATATTGTATGTTGAGACAATAATAAGATAAATTATTATATAATATGTAACGAGAAAACAGATGCCAGTGTTTTTCTAACATTAGGTTAAGATGTAGGTGCAACTAGTGGACGTCCAATTCGTAACTGTTGTTCGACTGTTTGTAGTGATTGGTTAAGGTTATCTAGGCTTATTTCGGACCATATGTTACCAATTTTTCTGTATCTCCTTTTGGTGTCTATTGAATTCGTTAAGATGCATGTAAGGTCAGTTGGATTAACTTGAACTTCTTTTATGTAATAGTGTGGAAATTGTGTACTCATGTACAACCCTAGCAAACGACACTTGGGTAATAAAGAGGCTGGATTATCTACATGCTGCTCAGATACCTCTAAAAATTGTAAATTTTTTGAATTACTTACAAGTTACTATTTTTATTTATGGTGCAGGACACAATTATTTTATAATTTATTTGGTTAATCGTTACAAATTAAAATAGGTTGTGTCCTTTTGATCCTATTAAATATCTTTAAGAAATGTATATGTATATATATGTAAATATATTGAAAGCTTTCAAAAACCATACAACTCTATAGTAAAATTTACCTAATAAACGACGTCCGATTGCATTTTTTAAAGCTTGCACCACATAGTCTCTCCTTTCTTTTGCAAAGGCTATCAATGTTCCCCCATCTATAAAAATAGTTATTAAATGACAGTGTTGCAAAGAAATAATAAAAATAAACAATATTTTAGTCGCTCAAAGAATTGTGATACAACCAACTTTCTGTACAACCACTTATTAGTGTTCAAACTCATCTATAAAACGCATGTATTATTTCTATACTTGAAATCCCAAAGAATGTATTACATAGTTAACACTGTGGTCACAATCTATTTCTCCATCTTTCCTCAACAAAAAGCTTAGTTTATTTAAATAATTATTTGACATAAAACCTTAAATAAATTAAATAAATTAAGCAAATATCAATTCTAAAACAGGCGTTTAAGGCTATCAACTATTATTTAAAAAAATGCATTATTACATATATTATATCTAGGCAATCCAAGTCCTGTAAGAAATACATAAAAAATCAAATCATTTTGCAGTTAATAAAATCCGGTTAATAAATTTTATACATGAAATTCACTCTACAACTGAGGTTAGTTAGATCATTATCAATTAATTAATAATATTATAGTATAAATATTAATTTACATCTTATAGCGATGTTTAAATTAACGGTTAGGTTGTAGCTGTATGACTTTAAGTTATAAATTGAGTTTTCTTAAAATGTATTAAAAATATGTAACTATTTTTTTTATATGATATTTACCTAATATACGGTGTATGAAATTTATCAATCCTTGCATGAAATAATTGGCTTCTAAAATTTAAAACAAAATCAAATTTAACGTACCTACATATTTTTTATGATTGAAACCGGTATGTCATATTTATAAATACCTAATAAATATGCAATAAGTAAAATAAATATAAAATATAAAAAGGGGTTTTTACTTTGCAATGGGTCATAAAATGGAATTTCTGAAATTAAAACAAAAATTGTGTGTGCATAAAGAATATCAAACAACTGTGTGGAAGCGTTTCCATAAAGTGCAATGAAAATTATTACCCCGTATACTCGAGATAATTTCTTTTTGGTCTGAAATTAACAACACATTAATTAATGATTTTGCATTTCATTTTCTATTCTATTTTAAACAGGAAAACGAATTTAAAGGTAGAAAAAACATGTTTATTAATAACTCAGAAGAAATCATCTCCACTGTATATTTAACACAACAAGGAACTCTTTGGAAAATTCAATAGGAAAGAAATATTGGAAATATTTTCATAAAATTCAACAAAAACTATTACCCGGTACAGCGATCAATAAATTTATTTTGCCTGTAATTGACATTACATAAATTAATGATATTGAATTAGTTTTTCTATAATAAATGATTGCATTATATAATTATAAATTAGAAGACAAGGGTCAAAGTAGAAAAAACTATATTATACAGATAAGGGAATCCTTCTGAAATTAGATCGACGTGGTATCAGTATTTTTTGATAAAGATTAAAGCTTTTTTTTTAGATATCGTTGAAAAATATAAAAATTATAACACTCATCAATTGCACAAAGATAAATGTGAGATGCATGTTTTATATTTTTTTCTACTTTAATCTTTATTAGAATTATAATTATGATTACAGAAATCCTGGAAGCCCAGGACATTATTGATATCATTAACCATTCTCTCAATTACATACTCCAATCCATCTAGAATAAACAAATGAAGATTTTGGTTATACTAAAATATTAAATTAGGTACCATACAATCGCTTAGTAGAATATTAAACCCGACTTTGAGAAGTAGCCAAATTTAACTTAACTCCCTAGATTAGATTATAAGAAATCGATAATGTATATATTACATTGCTCTGTGCTACATATCTAGTGCACTTTTCTTAACTATTGATAAAACGTTTTTCAGCCGAGTCTGCCACCACAAAAGAGCATTTTCATGTCTCGTTGAAGTACCGAATAAATTTAGAGTAGTGGTGGAATTATAGATAATGATATAGTATATTAAGAAGCAGTAACAAGCTAGTATTAAATAGTTCTAATTTAAACGTTGAACGTGCAGCATATCTCTTATCTCTTATCCCTATCTCCCACCTCCTATCTTCAGCCCCTATCTCCCAACCTTATCTTCTACTCCTTATCTCCTACCCCCTGTAACGCTTTTGTAAAGAACGCTTTTTTCGGTTATGTGCCAGAGCAAAGACATGAAAATGTCAAAAATAAAACATTTTATTTACTAATAACTTGATCATGTGGTACAAAAATTAAAGCTTCTATATTTATGTTGGTATATTGTTTTAAATAATATCTTACTTATTCCAGATGTATGTCCTACAGTTATATTATTTAGAAAATAAGCCCTTCTGAACATTTGAGCTGTGATACGTAATTAAACAAATATACATAAAAATTAAACACATTGAATTTACAAAAACATCTGTTTATAGAATAAAAATGTTACTGACTTGTTTGATAAACTAAAACCTTATATTCAAATTCATCTGTAATAAATGGAAATATTGATTTAATTTTTAATTTTAAATAGTTTAATTTGATAACTGTGAAAATTAATTGATTACCAGCATTTTCTGACAAAACATCCACGAAGAAAAAAGATATTAATAAACAGAAGAGTTTCATTTTTATCTGCGAATAGTAATAAATAAAAAAACATTTTATGTTAGTCACAGTTGTCTCCGGTTGAGATGAGAAAGTTATGGTTTTGCGAGGCAATTTTAATATGTTATTTTTTTACTAGACCCACAATATCTCCTGGTCGGCTGACTTATTTTTTTTTGTATAGCAAAGTACAAATTTAACTTGAATGGTATTTTATCTAGCCAATATGGTGTTATTCCACACTACTGAAAATAAACACAAAAATAGTCTCTGTTAACTATTTAAATTGCATCTTCTTCTTGTTCTCCAGGTTATCGGCCTATTAAGTGCCATCGCTGCAATCACAAAACCTCTCCATTTCTCTCTATTATACGCGTCGTCAAAAGTTAACTATTTAAATTGCATTGTATAATAAAGTTAGGTTACACTATTTAAAAAAGAAAATGGAGTGTAACTACATTTTGATACTAAAGTGACATTACACGCTTAGTTTTCGAGCGTCTAAACTTTACTACGCCTCTTAGTCAACCGATTACCTATAGGAGATTTCAATCGAAACTGTTCACGAGTTTATAGTGGAAAGAAAATGATGATTTAGAGAGAATGTCATATCCGTTTTAAAAAACTATCCTAAGAATTAAAGTTATTATCGTTATAACAAGTATTGAAATATCTTTTTAAATAATACACTAAGGTAATCAGACATTCTTTTTTGACACATTCTTTCTTAATCAGCAAAGATCCACCACCCATATGTAATAAATGCCAAGAAGACCTAACCATCCAACACATCATCCTAGACTGCCCAGACTTACAAAACATCCGAAGTACTCTATCAATACCCAACAACTTAGAAGAAGCTCTCCATGAAGACAACACCATAAAAATTTTAAATTTCCTTACAAAAATTAACATTGTAAACAATCTCTAACCAACACTTTTGTATTTAATTACACTTATTTAAAAAAAATATTGTAACCTTTGATATTTAATTATTAATGTAACTTACACAAAACATGTACACAAGGCTAATAACCTCAGATGTTGAAGCCTCTTAAAATAAAAAAAATTAATTAAAAATACACTAAGGTGTAGTGAAAAAATAAAATTGTTTAAATCGTTTTCATAATAGCTCACAAAAGTAGCGCCTTGATAGTAAAGTAAAAATATATTTCGTCCAAGTCAAAATAGAAATATTCAGCAAAATAATTTAGATTTTCCACCATAACACATAAATAATATCTTATTTTTGGAGAGTATTAATTCTTTTGCATGTTTTTAATTTTGAATACAGTGAATATAGTTTCTATAAAAGATTTTTTTTCATCTTTATATTGTTGAAACTTATTGAGTTATGATGGAAAATGGTTTTGCTGAATATTGTTTCTTTGGCTTGAAGGGGAAAAACCCCCTTTTTTTATAATTATTATTATTTTTTATAATCTTGATTACGCAAAGAAATTTACTTTAGTGAAGTATTATGAAAGCGATTATAAAAAGTGACATTTTCTGGACACATTGTTTAATACACTTCAAGCCAAATAACGGAAACGACTAAAATCTAGTACAGAATTTTCGCCAAAATGTGGATTGTGTAAAATGATGATTAAGAATCGATAAAAAAATAAACTAGCAATAAAAAATCTTTATTAGTGTTTTTCAATACTATGACTTTGACTCGTTAGGTTCATGCCTTTTTAGTTTTAGCATTAATAATTTTTTTAGAGTTTAATATAAATACTTACTTAAATTATTGTGGAGTTGGTAAGAGATTCTTGGACGGCAAGCACTTTGTTCAGCTTTTGAAACTCAGTGTACTACTTGCGACTTTACTTAGATTTTTACTTCGACCGAAATATTACAATGAAAACATTTTTTCGCAGTGTAGTAATCATGTTCATTTATGTTTTTATTTATGTTCATTTATTTTTTTTGTTCGTTTACACAAGTGGTTCAGTTTTTTTTTTTTTTTTGTGATTTATCGTGTACGTCGTGTAGAAAGCGGAGTTTAGAAGCGTAGTCTAAGAGACGATGATACTTATAATAAGAGGTGGTGGAATGTATACAAGGGTATGCTATTCGAATATCCTACACCTTTTAAAGCTTATTATTACTATAGCGTTATTGTGATACAAGATTCGCAAATACCTTGATCTGGTCCAGTGACGGCGTGAAAAAAAGATTTCCTTCTCAGGGCCGGACATAGAGGGGGGTGTGGGGGGGGGGTTTGACACCCCTCACTCGGAAAACTCAAGTATACACAATCGGCATATTCGGAACAAAAAGTCGGTAAATATCATAACCCCCATAAAATTATACAAATAACATATTTATTATTTTTATTTCATAAAAGTAGGTAGGTACATACTTTTTATTGGAATCTGGCGACTGAATAGTAAATAGTCGGCACACAGAGGACGACCATACGAAAATATAATTTTAGTTTTTAGTATAAAAAAAAAACAATGCATTTTCGGTTATTCCCGATTTTAGCAGAAGTATTATTATTTGTTTATAATAACTGTGGTGTATATTATTTCAAACTATGTTCGGTCATGGGACCTATTGGTCTATTGTAAACAAACATTCTATCCCTCTATAAGTATATATTTTTATTTTAATCAATCCGATCGACTTTGTAAAGATATTACATTTCTTCCTATTTCTTAGGTTGTCCAAAAAAACAGTGGCCGTCGTTATCTCGGTTAAATTGCAGTTTCAACTGCAATACGTTATAATTATGTTAAATAAATTCAAACATTTTTAAAATAATGATTTTAAGGAAGGGCTCAAACTGTTTTAGTATTGGTGACTGAGATCTGAAAATTTAGTAATAGATAAATTTGTTAGCTGCCTAAAGTATTTCTATTCTCCGAAAAACATTTTAAAAATCAAAAAAATCTAGTCACAATTTATAACAATATCACATCGTTATCATTTTTCTTCTTATTCTTTAAAAAATAATAAAAAATGACCCTCATGATTTAAACTCCACCAGAGATATACTCGATGTAATTGATTTGGAAGAAATAACAAAGAAATAGTCCGCATTAAAAAAAACACCGTATTAAAGTTTAACTTTTGATGGTTTTTTTACTTGTACTATCTAAATTTGTTTGTATTAATTAATACTTAAAAAAATAATCATTTTCAACAATTATTAATTCCAATTAATTTTAGCAAAAAATTGTGACTTGTGATGTAAAATGTCATAAAATATTTACCAAAGTACCCAAATATTTTAGTCGGTAATTAAAATTTTAAAGTCGGCATCTTCATTTTGGCACCCCCCCCCCCCTTGCATATTTCTTAGCACCGGCCCTGTTCCTTCTGACGATTGAGATGTCGGTTCACCTTGGAACGCTGAAGACGATACATTTATTACGCCTTGTACACTCGTTATCCTCAATGAGATACCGGTGTGTTTTTCTAACACGTATATTTACATATAATATATCAACGGCTGACTCAGTGTATGATTGTATTTTTACTCTGATCAAACTAACGTTTGTGTGTCATTCCCTTAGTTTTGGCTATCTCCTCTCAGGCTGCTTGACAACCAGTCGGAGGACTACACAAAACTCGTTTGGAAGTTGGATCTATCTGACTATCATATTCCAAGGCTACTTATCCTAATACAAACCAGTATACTACCCCGCTCAAAGTCGGCTACACAGATAGGCCTTCCTTCGCCAAACACTTTATAATAGCTATTTAATTATTAAGAAATGGTCGTCGGACCGAACGCGTTCTTGCTGACCAAGAGGCAATAGAAAGACACGACCGACCGACGACTGACTGTGATTTTCTTGTTACATTAAGGTAATAAGGACAAGAACTGGACGCTTTTGCTTTGAAAAAACTTATATGACTTTATCAGTACTTTTCTAAATAATATGTAAATTCATCCTCTTAAATGGAAACGTATTTAAAACACCTTTTAAGTTGTGTTGAAGTAATAAGAAGAAAATATTTCCTTGTGATGTTTTCTATGCTTGTTCAAACCGTTACCGGTTACACTAAATAAGAAATATATTTAAAACAAAACCATTTGTAAAATCGACCTAGTTGTTTTATTTGAACTCTTCATAGTCAAAACGATTTAGACTGTTATAATATTGTGGCACAATATCTTTTTTACTTAAGCAATAATAAGCTACAGTTGGGCTTCGGATAGCTAATAATGTCTACATCCGGTCATGAATAATTTTATATTCATTTAAAACCTTTTTAAATATTATATGGTTTTATCATTGTTGTTGCTTTTCTAAATACTTATATATTTACTTTTTTACCCGTAATCGAACAGAAAATCCCGTTTTAGTTTTGTTATTTATTTAAAAAAAAATATTTGCTTATGATGTTTTGACGTATTGCAACCAATGTAGTAAATAAAATACTATTCCAAAACAAAAACAATACTTTAAAATCGACCTAGTTTATTTTTTGAAGTCTCCGACATTAAAACGATTTTGATTATTATTATATTATAGGCCCATTCATTTTTTTACTTGAGTAATTAAAACTGTATGGCAATTGTCAGTATTTCGAATTTAGTCTTATAAATGTATAGGAAAAAATATAAATTTAAGACTTACAGAATATAATCCATCTCTCAAGGAATATTTATAAATTAATATAAATGTTTATTTACTTTTTTACTCGGAATCGAATCGAAAACACGTTTTAAGTTGTGTTATTTATTTAAATAAAAAGAAAATATATTTTGATGTGATATTTTCGATGCTTTCCATGCTGGAAAAATAATGTCGGTAAACAAAACATAGTTTAATTGAAGAATGCTCGATGTGGGTATCCAAAAATGTTTTCAATTTTTACATATTTAGAAATTTGTTGTTCATTATAAAATAAAAATTCTCAAACATGACAAAGGCCGTTATTATTTAAAGGATATACTGATAACTTTTTAACAGTAATATTATTATTATTTTTTTTATGGGGCTAATAGAAAAAATTATATTAAACACTCTATTATTTCTTAAATAACATATTACATATTCGGTTTTTTTTTTTACAATGTAATAAACTGCTTATATTTTTTTTGTTTTTGGTTTATATTATCAAAACTGTATATTATGGGTGGTATTTTTGAAAATTGTTCTCAATTTTGCAGTATAAAATATAAACAGATATTTTATTGAAGCTTAGGTTTCAATTGAAAATCTATTCATTTGCTGAAAAAATGAAATTGTTTTTGTGGGTTCTGCTGTTGTTGTCGTCGTAACCGTTCTTATTTGTATAAATGTTTCATATGCGAAAATATCTCACTGAAAAACCACTTATTTTTTTGTTCGATACAGGTCGATATATACTACTATTAGTTTTAATCACTTTATGCAAATTGTTGTTTTCAAGTTACAACAATATTTGTTGTCCCTAAAAGGAATTTTTCTGTTAGAATACAATATACAATAAAACTAAAAAGGCATGATTCTAATGAGTTAAAAGTTATAGTGTTAAAAAACAGTAATAAGGATTTTTTTATTATAGCCAGTTTTTTAAATGGTTTTTATAATATCTCACTAAAGTAGACCTCTTTGCTTAAACAAGCAAGATAAAAAAAATGTATACATTTTTTCCGCCCCAAGTCAAAGAAACAATACTCAGTAAAACCATTAAGATTTTCCATTCTAACTTCTAGACTATTCTTTTCAATTTAAAATTTAAAAAAATTACAGATATATAGTTAGACTTACACTACACTTAATCAGTACTTAGCTTGCAAAATTTTTGTCCAAAACTAGGTTTAACAAAGTTGATAATTATTTTTTGGAGGGGAAAAAGTTGATTTTCTTTCAGAAATATCTGGTATTAGGTTTAACAGTTACCAAATTATGTGCTTATCTAAATTTTAGCTGTCAATTGTCATATTTGAAGAGATATACTACTGGCCGTCATTCCCTAAATTTCCCTTACTACATATGTATTATATTTGTAAACTGTATTACTATAAATCAAAGATCAATTTGAAAAGTATTTAACTTAAAAAATTATACTTTTCACGAAACCTTGGAGGGGAGTTGAAAGTTGTTTGGTTTATTTTATTTTTTTGGCGATGCTTTAGAGCTGAAAATTAGTTTGAAGATGAGATAGGTCTAGCAAGTGCAAAAATGTAGCCAACTTTTTTTTATAAAAAATCATATTAGTGAATAAGTCGGTGCCTTAGTTTTTTCTAGCTAAATTATGTACTACAGTATTAAGATAATTATAGTAGATATTTATATTACAAAATTGTACACATTTGATTACCAGGAATTTGTAGGGAGTTATGATTGATATTGTATGCATAACTTATAACTCTTATACTAAACATATGGGTTCATATTTTTTTTAACCTTAATGTCCTAATAGGATATAGTATTATACTTTTGTTGATAATGTCTTATTTACATAATTTAATTTTGTACTCTACATTATAAGTGTATTCAACTGCCATATTATTTTGAAAAACCAAAGGCTATTAAAACGCAAAACCTTGTACAACAATCAACGTAATCTATTAAAACAAAAGTAAAACTAATGATAGATGTGTGGATAAGAGCATTTTTATTTTTAAAAACATATCTAATTTTATTCTGTATAATATTATGTGTAAAATTGCTTATTGTGAAATATGTACATTAATTAATTGACGGCTAATATTGTAATATGAAACAGAATATAGACATGAAGTGCATTATAGAAATATTATTTTATTAAAATAACAGTAGTATTATATAATTTTAAATGAGTTATAATAGTATTAATTCCTCGTCTAAACGTCTTAGCTGATTCTCGAGCAGTTGTACTGAACCGCTGTTATTCAAATTTATTTGATTCCATACACCTAAAATTCTTTTGTATCTTTTGTGTGTAATTCCATCCCACAGCGTAAAAGTCCTTTTATGTGTGTTAGTCCAAACTTGTTTTATGTACGATGTTGGTACTCGTGCACTCATGTATAATCCCACCATACGACTCATCCATAATAAATAGACATCATCGTCTACATTCCGCAGTGGTCCACCTAAAATGTATAAAACATATTTTTTTTTAATTTGCTAGTAATCATAACTTATACAAAAATAAATAAATATATATATTTTTAAATATTTCAAAACCCAAACAGCTCAATATTATGTGTAACTAATTTACGTCTGATCATATTTATTAAAGCAGAAACAACATGACTTCTTCTCTGATCTGCAAGTTCTGTCAAATCTAAATCACCAAAATCTGCAAAAATTATAAAATACAAATTTATTTTAGTTGCTCCTGATACATTATCATTGCTTTACATTTTATAAATATTTTTGATACAACCAGCCGACCAAAAGTTGATTTAATTAAAATTGTTGTTTGACATATTATAGCAACAAATATAAATAAAATGAAGCAAAATTCATCTCTAACACAAGCTTTAAAGGCTATCTACGATTCGTAATTACTTTGGTCGTTATCGAATTCAGGATCATCAATTCCTACAAAAAATACATTGAATTAATTATGGAGTAAATCAAATCTGGTAAAAGGAAGGGAAAGAGTATAGAAATACATTTTAATAGTGCTAATAGAATTATTTTCACTGTGCCGAAAATATCGAGAAAAAATAAATACTAAATAGTCACCCTATTTAAAGTGTATTGTGTTGTGTTTTACGCATTATAATCTAACTGTTTTTCGAAAGAATGATTTTACTTCAACTTCATTACATCAGGTATAAAAAATGTATTCAAATATGAAATTTTGTTTACTACAATCTATTTCTTTCAACCTAACCTGTCGTTGATATTTTATTGTAATTATTCAGACAATTAGTTTTACACAAAACAAATTGTATTGTTCATATTTTAATATATTTATAAGACACATTTAAATATGCCCCCCTTCGATTAAAATGTAATATATAGGCTATTTTCGACTATAAAACAAATTTGTAATTACTTTGATTTATATCATCAGGCAGTGGAAGATCTGTAAGAAGTACATCAAACAACATATAATTTTACAGTCACTCAAAAACAGAGGTATGAAAATATAATTGTATATAAATATTAAATTGATTCTAATAGCTACATTTGAATAAACGGTTTGTATAATTTATTTGGCATGATTATCAGAAGCTTAAGCATAAGACAAGGCTTCAAATCGTATTTTTACTATTTTTTAGCTACAGATACCTATGGTATTAATACCTAATTATCAAATTTATTAGTTTTACCTAATGCAACTGCTAATTCTTGTCGAAACCAAAACTGCAATAACTCGCATTCTAAAATTAAAAACAAAATGTATTTTAATTCAACTACATATTTTTTATGAATATGATTGTTCTCAAAGTAATTACAAATAACGAATATGCGTTAAGTATATTAAATATTAATATTATAGAAATGTGGTTACTCTTCATGCCGTTAAGCCAATCTATTTCTGAAATTAAAACAAACAATTTGTGTTCATAAAAAATATTAAACAACCGTATGGAAAAACGTCCATAAAGTACAATGAACATTATTACCTGGTATTTGGAGAACATATTCCGTTTTTTCTGAAATGAGCAGTAGATATATTTAATATTACCATTGATGCTGCATTTCATTTTCTATTTTTTTTTATAAATAGAAGGACAGAGCTCAAGGTAGAAAAAAAAACGTGTATTAGTAAATTAGGAGAAATTTGCTTCACATATAAGGAATATTTTCATAAAATTAAAATAAAAACTATTACCCGGTACAGCGATCATAGAATTTAATTTGCCTAAAATTGACATTACATAAATTAATGATAGTGGATTTGATTTGCTATTATAAATCGTTACATAACATATTTATATGTTAGAAGACGAAGGTCAAAGTAGAAAAAAACTATATTAAATAAACTTGGAAACCGTTATGAAAATATAATGGCTGATTTGAAGCAGTCGTGGCGATGTGAATATTATAATATAATAAGCAGACAAGGTTGACGAAGCTAACATCAGTATATATTTTGTTTTTAAATAAAAATTCCATTTAGATTTCGGAGTCAAATGTAATATTCATATCACTTACCAATTGCATAAAGATACATTTTTACATCGATATGCCTTATGAATTATTAGAGATAGTGGATTAGAGATACTAGATTGCAGGACATATCCATTTATATATGAATCTGCATGAAGTGTAGATACTCTTAACTTCAAATATTTTTTCTACTACTATCTTTATTTTATTATTATAATAATTATAACTACCGAAAGATTCGAGTCTAACGCGATTCTCAGCTTCCATTGCTTCCATTACATATTCCAATCCATCTAGAATAAACAAATAAAGATTCGTGCTATAGTAAAATATTGAAATAAAATAAAATTAGGTACAAGGTGCACTTTTCTTAACTATCAATAGAAACTATACTTTTTACTTTACAAATAACTCGACAAATAGGCACGCTTTACAAAACAGTTATGTATTAGCATGTTAGTTTTATATAAATCTTACTTAATCCAAAATTATTTTCTACAGTAAAATCATTTATATTAAAAGCACGTGCGATGGCTAGATCTGTAATAGATAATTGAAAAATATGTGTAAAATCTTTGAAGTATAAAAGACTTAGAAACATTTTTTTTATAAAAAAACAATGTTACTGACTTGTAATTAAAAATTGCTTTTTGCAATCCGCTGTAAAAAAAAGTAATAAATTGAATTTTTTTTCAAATTTGCAACTACAACTTAAGTTAGCTATTGTGTAAATTAAAATGAATTACCTTCATCATCTGTCGAAACACTTACAACGGCATATGATATAATAAAACAGAAAAGATTCATTTTTATCTGCAAATAATAAAAAAACATTGATATTTATTAACCGTCTAACTTCTAGACGGTTCTAGAAAGGAATTTTTCTGTTAGAATACAATATAAAAAAATCAATTTTACATGTAATAGATTTTAACTATACAGTACACCTTGGTTACCTCTACTCTAATTCTAATTTGAATACCTAAAACTACGGTTAGGAAAAAAACAAAGAATCACAGCCACTTATATGTAAAAATAATTTATTTCCACTATTTTATTTAAAATAAATATGCTTTGCTTAAAAGTTAGTTTAATGTAATATATGGGAGCAATTTATAATCAAAATGTATATTATAGTATATATTTATGTATATATTTTAAAGTTCAGACCATATTAGAGGGGGCGTGGAATCACAAGTCTTTTAGAACTAATTGTGTTTCTAATTAATATTGTGTATTATTATATTTTATACATTGTACTTTCGTTGTATGAAATGCGCTAGTATATTATTAGCCTTAAATTGGTATCATTATGCATTACTTAACATAATAATAATACCCATACAATTTCACAATAACAGTCATGTACCAGATGTTTTGTACTATTTAATTGAATAGACCTTTAAGTTACTGTTTCCAAAAACACAATATATTTCAATTGTTTTCAAATAGTATACTAAGGTATAGTGAAAAAAGGAAATTTTTAAAATCGTTTTTATAATATCTCACAAAAATAGCGCCTTGAAAATAAAGTAAACATTTTTACTTTAAAATAATATTTGGTCCAAGTCAAAAAAGGAATATTTAGCAAAATGGTTTAGATTTTCCATCATAACTTGAGACGCTCAGAAGCCAAACTGATTAACTCCGTAAAATTAAATTTTTCAGGACAGGCAGTTAAAGTTATTTGAAACAATGTATGTAAGTATTCAACTATGGAGTTATTTATCATAGCCACTGGAAATTATACACTTTTGTAATCCACAATGCTATCATTCGCAATTTGAAAAAAGTGGAGTTAATCGGTTTGGCTTCCGAGCGCCTCATTTATAAATAAAAACTTATTTTTGGAGGGTATTAATTTCTGTCTAATATACGTGTACAAATTTGTTTTTAGCGTTTTGTTTTGAGATCATTAAAAATAAAATTAAAAACCTAAAAACACAATTTTTTCTTAATTTTTTAAGTGAACAATAAAGTTTTTTTGAATATTGACTAAATTTCTTTAACACGGACGATGAAAACATTTTTTTTTTTAATATATTTATAATGTGTATACAATTATCAATTAAACGATAAATTATAAATGATTTATATAATATAGTACATAAACTTAGTAAATAATACATTTTTTGAAATGAACTATATTATTCATAAAATGTATGTAAAAGTAATCATTTTTCGAAAAAAACTTTAATTCGACAAAATCTCGTTTTGTCATGTTTATCATTTTGAAATTTTTTTTTAGTGATTGAAAAAAAAATTTAAGAAAATTGTACACGTATATGAATTTAGTTAAAAAAATTACTAGCAATAAAAAATCCTTATTACTGTTTTATAACATTACAACGTTTGACTCATTAGGCTCATGCCTTTTTAGTTATAGCGTAATTACAATTTTTAGAGTTTAATTGAAATACTTACTCAAATTAAGGAGTTTGTAAGAGGTTCTTGGACAACAATCGACTTGTTCAGTTTTTGAAACTAAATTTACTACTTGCGACTATTAGATGGGCTTTTACTTCGACCGAAAAGTCACAATCCAAATGTTTTTTTGCAGTGTAGATATTATGTTCATATATTTACACAACTCACTCAATTTTTTTTTGTGTGATTTATTTATACATACTTTACTTAGAAAACGGAGTGTAGCGGTTTTCAACGCAATACACATACATGAAAAAAATATATCATGCTTGGCAAGTTTACCTCTGTAGCCACTTTGATTGTAAATAAACAACATTTCAACATCTGAAATTGTTCAGACTTAAACGTCAAAACAGTTAACGAAACTCTCATAATCTACCATGCAAGGTTCCACTCTAAACTCAAGGGTCATCCTATCCAACTTGTTTATAACCTCACTTCTATATCTCTACCAGACATTCTGGTCTTTGCCGTAATTAATCAAGAGATCTGGTCCAGTAATTCCAAGTAAAAAAAAGTTCTAGCCGTATGACTCTCCTTCGAAAAATTTCACGAATATATATCATAATATTGTATAACACGAATTTTTCTCATCTATCATTATTCGTCGACAATTCGGCTTTTAGCCAGCCCAAGGTCATATATCATTGTGTTCAATATAATATTGAATTTTCTTTAAAAGTAAAAAAAAAATAAATAAACGAAGTATAATGAATAAAGCGTACCTACATTTCATATATAGGCATGTTAAAAAAACCAATATTACCGTTGAATCGAATTGCAAAAGTTTTAAGGTAAAACATTTTTTTTGTTATACGTTCATACGTGTTAAGTTATACGTAACAATATGTCACTAATTTGTCCTTTCATCAGTGCGGTTAAATGTTTACGTCCAGTTTATCTAGCCACTAAACTGCCTTGTCCGACGCTGAACGTAGGTCTTCGAGAGTTCCAATAAACTTCCTATGCTCGCATTATATGATACATTGTGTTTGCCTCCGCTCCGCAGTCACATCTCTGATCTTCCTTAATGCGCCACTTGTGCATCAAATGGTTACATCGGCCTTGACCTGTACGAATTTGATTTAGTCTAGGCTCGGGGTCTCCAACCTTTTTTTACGACAAGCCAAATCTGAGATACGCTTTAGCATCACGGGCCAACATTTTTTAGATGAATAGTGAGGTAATTAAATTGACGAATAGATAAAAATAGATTAGATTTTTTAGATTTTAGAATAATGCATATATATTTTTATTTTTATAATTTTAAATTTGTTTTGTATTGATACTAGTAAGTAACTTAAGGGGATTCGATACCGACCGTTTTCAAGGAGTTTTGTTTAGGCGATATTTATGAAAAAATTGGTTTAAATAAACTTCGACCATTTCAATTAATTTACCGGTTAATTTGTATAAGCTTGTTCGTTATTCATATTAGATTAGTTAAGTGTTATGCTAAACAATACATTGCGTTGGATACCATTAACATGTTGGCTGTGTAATTTATCGGGTTTGTTTCCTTATTACTATGAAGAATATATTATTGGAACTTTAACTACCTAAGTTATCAAATATGATGTAAACAATGAAAAACGCTTGCGGGGGTGTAGACTTGTGCCGAAATATGTCTTTCTTACTTTGATTTTCGTATAGACGAACTTTTGTACTTAAACTGCTAAATGAAGTAACACAAAATTACTACACGAAATGCAATATATTTACAAACTGCGTATATATGTATTACCAGTGGCATCATACATGTCCGTTAGAACTTAAAAGTAAAAATTCCCTTTCTTATGCAGGTTTCGTATAGGTTTCGTTTTATAAAAACAAGATTCTTGTTTTTGAAAATCATAACTTGTGAATAACATCTTATATTTTGGGCAGGTATTGATTTCTGTCCAACATACTTTTTTTTAAGTGTTTTAAACGAATTAAAAAATTAGCTTTATTTATAAAAACACGAGTAAACCAAATAATAGAACAAGTAAATGAGTTTACATACCTGGAAAGTGCAATCAGCAATGATAGAAGTTATAGATGTGAAATAATAAAACGTAACTGTCAAGCCAAAATAGCATTTAGCAACAATAAAACTATATTAATATCAAGTAACATTAGTCTATAAACAATAAAAAACCTATTGAAGACGTATGTATGGAGTATAGCCTATAGTCTATATGGGGGTGAAACCTGTACAATAACAATGGAAGAACGAAGAAGACTTCAGGCGTTTGAAATGTGGTGTTATAGGAGAATATTAAGGATAAGTTGGACGGACAGAGTAACCAATGTAGAAGTACTGGAAAGAGTATCAGAAGAAAAATGACTACTATTGATACAATCTCTAAGAGTAAACAGGGATTTGTGGGTTAGAAAAACTGGGTGAATTGGTTCGTGTAACACAGGCATAGCTGGAACTTTCCTTGCGCTCAAATAGCATGGCTGAACAATTCGGACACCATGCTTATTGTATTATTGTTTAATGACTTCGTATTACCAATAAAATAGTTGTGTCCTGCATCATAAAGGAATGTAGTAGCTAGTAATCTAATATTAGCCAGTTAAGATGTAGATGATGAATCCTCTTTATTAACTAAGTGCCTAAGTTCAGGTTGACTCAACTGACGTTACATGTATCTTAACGGATAAAAATGATGCCAAAAGGAGATACAGAAAAATTGATAACGCGTGGTCCGAAATAAGCATAGCCAATATAAACCAATCCCTAAAATCACTTGAGGAACAGTTACGGTTTGGACATCTACAAGCTCGACCCACATATTAACCTAATGTTAGAAAATTACTAGGGAAAAATATAGTTAGAAGACCAAATTGATGGATAGGCCATATAATGCGACATGATGGATTATTGAAACTGATTATAGAAGGAAGAGTAGAAGGAAAGAACCACAGGGGAAGACCAAGATTGGAATACATTTAACAAATAATAAAGGATCAAGGATGTGACTCATATGTAGAAATGAAAAGGAAAGCGGTTAAGAGAGAATAATGGAAGTTGGCTGCAAAATAGTCTACGGATTGAAACCATAGAGAAAGAGAGAAAATCTAACTTTACTAATGTTGTTTTTACAAACAACATTTAGCTACTAGTTTTTTCTATTTTCTGTTTTGAGTAGTTCAACCTAATTTTTTGATACAATGCAATTTAAACCGTTAACAGAGACTTATTTTTGAATATATTTATTAGGGTGGAAAAATATCAAGTTTAGCGAAATTAATTTTCATTCATTTTTACTTTGCTATACATATTAATACATTTATCACATAAAAATTGACTCGTAAAACCATAACCTTCTCATCTCTGAACCGGAGAATATTGTGACTAATATGAAATGTATTTTTGTTTATTATTTGCAGATAAA